ATCACGTGAGAGTAAGCCGGCCCGAACTCCAGGCACGCTTCGTCAACGGAGAATGCGTGCAGGTCCCCCACCCTCTTGATGGAGGCCAATGCAACCAGGAGTGCTGTCTTCATGGACAGAAACTTTAACTCTACTGATTGCAAAGGCTCAAAAGGATGCCTCTGCAGAGCACTTAAAACTACCAAGAGGTCCCAAGAGGGTACGAGGGGAGGACGAGGCGGATGCAGCCTCCTCGCTCCCCTCAGGAACCTGATGACCAGGTCGTGCTTCCCTAAGGACTTACCTTCCACTGCTTCATGAGAAGCGGCAATGGCCGCGACGTAAACCTTAAGGGTGGAGGGCGACAGCCTGCGCTCCAACCCTTCTTGCAGGAAGGAAAGCACGACACTGATCGAACATCTCCGGGGGTCTTCTCCGCGAGAAGAGCACCAATTGACGAAGAGGTTCCACTTCAACGCATAAAGGTGTCTCGTGGACAACGCTCTTGCGGAAGTGATGGTTGCCGCCACCGCAGGTGGCAGCGAACTCAAACCTGCCTCGTCCCGTCCAGGAGCCACACGTGCAGCCTCCAAAGATCGGGACGAGGGTGCCACAGAGTGCCCCGTCTCTGAGAGAGTAGGTCTTGTCTCAGAGGAATAGGCCAAGGAGGTGCTGTCGCGAGGAGCATGAGATCGGAGAACCACGTCTTGGTGGGCCAGTAGGGGGCTACCAGCAAGACCTGCTCCTCGTCCTCCTTGATCTTGCACAACACCCGTGCAAGGAGGCTCACTGGGGGAAACGCATACTTGCGTGGGCCCCGTGGCCAGCTGTGCGCCAGCGTATCCGAACCGAGAGTGCCCCAGGTCAGAGAATAAAACTGGGCGCAGTGGGCTGAGTCCCGGGAGGCGAACAGATCTATCTGTGCCTCCCCGAACTCTTTCCAGATCAGCTGGACCGACTGGGGATGGAGTCGCCACTCGCCGGAGATAGGGCGGACCCGAGACAGCTCGTCGGCTGCCCAGTTCCGGTCTCCAGGAATGTGAACTGCACGAAGGGACCTCAGGTGCTTCTGACTCCATATCAAGAGGTGGCGGGCGAGCTGCGACAACCGGCGCGAGCGTAGACCCCCCTGGTGGTTGATGTACGCTACAGCCGTAGTGTTGTCTGAGCGGACAAGCACATGCTGGCCCTTGAGCAACGCTCTGAAGCGGTGCAGGGCGAGCCGTACTGCCAGCAGCTCGAGGCAATTGATGTGCATGAGGCGCTGGGCCCCCGTCCAGGAGCCGGCGGCTGCATGCCCATTGCACATGGCACCCCAACCCGTGGTAGATGCATCCGTGGAGACGATGAGATGCCTGGAAACTCGCTGAATAGGGACGCCCGTCCGTAAAAAGCGGAGGTTCGACCACGGGAAGAAGGTTCGCCGGCATGTCGGAGTCACTGGGACTCGGAGCGAGCCGCGATGCCATGCCCACCTCGGGACTCGATCGCGAAGCCACAGCTGAAGCGGTCTCATATGAAGCAAACCGAGCGGCGTTGCCGCGGCCGCGGATGCCATTTGCCCCAGGAGCCTCTGAAAAAGTTTCAGTGGAACCGCACTCTTGCCCTCGAACTGACGAAGACAAGTCAGCAGTGAGTGCGCGCGCTCGTTCGTGAGCTGCGCGGACATGGCGACCGAGTCTATCTCCACGCCGAGAAAAGAGATCCTCTGCACGGGGCAAAGTTTGCTCTTTTCTCGGTTGACCCGAAGGCCCAGACGGGCTAGGTGCCGGAGCACCAAGTCTCTGTGTTCGCAAAGCTGAGCTCGAGAGTGTGCTAGTATCAGCCAGTCGTCGAGATAATTCAGGATGCGAACCCCGTGTTCGCGAAGGGGAACAAGGGCTGCCTCGACGATCTTCGTGAAGACGCGAGGGGACAGAGCTAACCCGAATGGGAGAACGGCGTACTGATATGCCTGGCCCTCGAAGGCAAACCGAAGAAACGGTCTGTGTCGAGGTAAGATGGACACATGGAAGTACGCGTCCTTCAGGTCGATCGCTGCAAACCAATCCTGATACCGAACACATTCGAAAATGCGTTTGGCCGTGAGCATTTTGAACGGTAGTCGATGGAGAGAACGGTTCAAAATGCGCAGGTCCAGGATCGGTCGTAACCCACCGGTCTTCTTGGGGACAATGAAGTAGGGGCTGTAAAACCCGGACCTCACCTCGGCTGGAGGGACCGTCTCGATTGCACCCTTCGCCAGCAGGGTCGCAATCTCCGCTCTCAGGACTGGGGCATTGCCACCGACTATCGTGGAGCGAACTCCCCTGAAGCGGGGAGGAGACCGTGCGAACTGAATCGCGTAGCCGAATCTGATCGTTCTGATGACCCAGCGGGATACCCCGGGAAGCGCTAGCCAGGCTTCCAGGAAGTGAGCCAACGGGGTCATGTGAACCACAGACGTCCCCCCGGAGGGGCAGCGTGGCGGGTCGACTGGCACGCGTGCAGGGTTACCCCGCTCGGATGCGTCGAAGCCCGCTCCCCGACAGAAGGGACCAGGGAAAGCGGAGCGTTCCACGGGGGTCCGTTCTGCCGGGGGTCTGGCGAGAGAGGGGGAAGGGATTGGTGTAGCCCGGGGACGACACACGCACCCTTCCGCGCCCTCCGAGACAGAGAGGAGTGAGTGGGCCGACACCCTGGGGCATCGGGGGCACTCACTCCAGTCTGTGAGCTCAGTGAGGATGTCAAGTCTTTCTTTAACCAGTTCAGGGTGCTGCCCACCCGTGGGTGAGCAGCGGGGAGCTGAGAACAAAAGATTCTCCCCCGGCCCTCCACCGGGGGAAGGAGGGGGCCTGCTACCGCCTCCTGTGAAAGACTCGAGATCGTCACTGAGCGGCCCGTGTCAGGATCTTCGCTTGGCCTGGCGTTTAGCGGGGCGAGCGGCCTGAGGGGGCTGTGACGCCGGCCTGCGGCCTCCTCGACGCCGGGGCCCGGGTGAAGGCTGCTGCTGGGGCCGGGCGGGAGGGAGGGGAGCCGCAGGGGGGCGTCCTCGGCGGCGAGCAGGGGGAGGCGCCTGTGCCGACGACTGGGTGGAGGCAGCAGCTGGTCGTCGGGGCAGAATGTGTTTGATGGCCTCCGTCTGCTTCTGGGCGGTGGAGAACTGTTGGGCGAAGTCCTCGACCGCACCGCCGAAAAGGCCAACCTGGGACAGCGGAGCGTCGAGCAGACGAGTCCGCTCAGCGCTCCGCGTATCCGACAGGTTGAGCCACAGATGACGCTCCTGAACCACGCTAGTGGCCATCACCTGACCAACGGCGCGAGCAGCCACTTTCGTTGCCCGGAGAGCAAGGTCAGTGGCGGACCGCAGTTCTTTGAATGCCGTCGTGTCAGTCCCGCCCTCGTGCATGTCTCTGAGCAACTTCGCTTGGAAGACCTGCAAAGTGGTCATAGCATGCAGAGCGGAGGCCGCCTGTCCCGCCGCTCTGTAGGATCGCGCCGCCATAGCAGACGAGAACCCACAGGCTTTGGATGGGTGCTTAGGAGGACCACGGGTGGAGGCGCTCTGTGGACACAGTTGCATCGCAACAGAGCGCTCCACCGGGGGCATCCCAGTGTACCCACGGGCGGCCCCGCCGTCGAGGGGGGGAAAGGCGGGGGAGAGATCGCGCTCTCGAGTGGACAAAGGAGCCCCCCAAGAGCGCGATAACTCCGCATGCAGCTCGGGGAAAAAAGGTATTGGAGTCGGCCGTGGCTTTGCAGCGGCAGCCTTGTCCAAAAACCAATTATCCATCCGTGAGAGGTCGGGGCAGGATGGAGGTTTCCATTCTAGCCCGATACTCCCAGCGGCTCGAGACAGCATGGCCGTCATCTCGGGATCTGACGCGGACAACGCTGGGACTCCCGAAGGAGGCAACGCAGCCGGATCTTCCTCTCCCGAGGAATCAAGCCCGCCTAGTGATGCTGTGATAGACATCGCATCATCATCTGGGGCGCTGCTCGAAGCAGCCGGTGCCGCCGAAGAGACAACCGACCGAGTCGAACTAGCGCCCGCTGGCTCACGCACTGAGGCGGGAGGTGTGGCCCGAGGAATCGTCGGGGCTTTATCCCACACCGTCACCGTTAGATCGCCCGGTCCCCGGGTCGACGGGCCCCCTTTCGTGAAGGAAGCCGATCGAGTAGGGGGGACCGGGGCTCTCACTCTAGTGAGATCATTGAGCCGCGACCTCAGTGTGGAGATGGTCATGGTCCCACAGAAGGAACATGAGTCATCCACGAACGCTGCTGCTGCATGCTGAATGCCCAAGCAAACAAAGCAGCGTTCGTGACCATCAGATGACGACAGAAATCTACCACATCCAGAAGGGCACGGGCGAGCCATCTTTAAAAAGACGTGCCGCGTGCAGCTCTTTTACAGAGAGGAGAGAAATTCACTCTTTCAGCGCTGAGGCTACCAGGGAGAAGCGCAAAGTCTGGCAAACCACTGCACAGATCGCAGGCAATGCAGAATCTCGCTGGGTACCGCCGTCACACCAACACTGAAGAGGACGCTCGTCTCGAAGAGTCTTGAATCAGCTTTGAGGAGTGAAGAGGTTCTCTTGGCTCCGAAGCGAAAACATACTGCGGTTGCGTTCACTTCCTCCTTTTATACTCACGGAGTAGGGCGGAGTACGCTATGCAAATTTCCGCAGCCCCAAGGCATTGCATGCCATTGGCTCGTGTTTTAATACTCGAAGAGGATTGGCTTTCTATGCGAAATCCCCCAATCTCCGTCACTTCTGACGTAACTCGAAGTGACTACGAAAGGGAACCTTAATTTCTTTTCGACTGAAGAAAGAATGACATCGATATCAGTTATCAGCAAATGTTTTTTTTTTTAAGTGAACTACTCCTTTAAAACGAATCTTTAAGATTCTGAGAACACTAAGAAAGAAAGGTTTGGAACAACATAAAGGTGATTAGGGTGAGTTATCTCTTTAATGTTACACACTAAACTGCCCAATGTGTCCAGTAAAATAGTTTGACCGGTACATTCTGCTTACCTTCTATAGCAAAGGGTTTGCCAACTGTCAGCAGCTTGCAGTCGGCATCAATGGACACCTCATAGTCCAGCAGGGCTTTGTCCATGATAAAAGCATCAAGTTGAGGCGGATCTGTCCTTCACAACATAAAAAGAGGGGGGGGCTACAAAACTACACACACAGGCAAGCACACACTCTCATTAAACATGCACAGTATGATTCCGGTGCAAATGGAACATAGACATCATTTGTCTGAGCTAAATGTTCATAAACTGCAGTGGCGTCCATAAATCAGCAGCTATTCCCTAAACCACATGCGAGCTGAATAGAGCCCGAAAAGGACTTTTAATGGATTGTGACACCTTAAGGGCAGCGGTCCACCCATACTTAATTTAATGATTAAGAAAAAGATGTCATTTATCAAAAAAATTCAGCTTGCAGCAAATTTGAAATTAAACATTTTTAGTAGCACTTTTGGTTCCCCACACATTTTATCCCAATCTGTGTTATCCCAATCTGGCAAATCAAAAATCTTTTAACATTTTACCAGTATATTCTTTTAAAATATTATTTTTTTGTCTAAATCTAGAGTAGACCTACAAATAATACTGCTTATAAACACCATCAAAGGGCAAATACAGACATACTGTGGCATAAATTTGAAAATCAAATATTTCAGAAATGAATTGCTTTGCTGGTTCATTGCGATACATATGGTCACTGATACCTCTGATCCTCTTCTCGAAATGAAAAAAGGATTAAAGTGTTTTCAGCCAATTTAAATACTTCATGGATCTTTGACTCTTTTGAAGGCGTTTGTCTCTTTTAAGTTTTTCTTCCAATTACATTCCGAATGATACATCCAAATATTAAATGAAGCAACTTCTATGCCATGATTTCAGGCTTAATTCTGCCATCTGTCATACAGACTCAAACCTTTACTAAGGAATTATGGAAGGAAGTGAGATGCGCTGACTCTCAAAATGTTAATATTCCTGCTGTTCTAAATTCATCTCTAGTGCGAGTGCAAACTAGGCTAGAAAAAAAAATCCATTTATGTGGTTGCTTTCAAACTTGTTAATTAAGCTTTAGATAAAAATCACATAAGAATTTTTAATTCTCCTCCTTTTTTCTATCATAGTTCTCCTCTGTTTTTTTATATAGCCCAAAAATAAATCAATATTTAAATAAATAAACAAACGAAAGCACACTCACAGAATTTGGTATGTGTGAGACAGACTGTGTCACTGCAGCTGGCAGGAAACAACAAACCGCTCGCCTGGCGAGCAGCAGTGAGAGGGAATCTCAGAACTTAGACTCAAATATGCTGAGAGAAAAAAAAAATGCTTCAGGCAAACACCTCATTTTAATGACAGCATTTTTCAAAAAATTGAATTTATTTGGCCGAGATATTGACACCTCTGGTATTGTCAACCAGTCACCAAGGGAGGACTGAAATAGAAAAGACTTGAGATTCAGCATTTGTATTGTAATGAACAGGGTGCAACTGCTGTTTGAATTATTGATAACTATGCACAGTTTTTTTTTTCTCCATGTGTTGTAAATTTCTCTTTGTACTAATAGTGTTTGGCGGTATGACTACACCAGGAGAACTTGAGCTGTGTCTGAAATCGCTCCCTATCCACTATATAGTGCACTATATCAGGTGTCGGCCATTTTGTAGTGGTGTCCGAATTCTGAGTGAACATCATTCCCTACATTCATTCACTACTTTTACCCACAATCCTCTCTGAATTCGAGTGTACATTCGATGTACACTTGCTGAAGCCCTATTTCCCACAATCCAATGCGGAGAGAACTGAGCGCGCATGAAAGTGCGGCGCGAGCAAGTTTAAACCAGAGATTACATTACATCCAGTTGAGGATTTGAAAAATATCCGTTAATCGTCGTTAAGAAGCATATTCATTTGAATATAATAACGGTCGCCGGAGGGCGCTCGACGACACGTCATCTGTGAACGTGAGAGTTACAATTTCAGTCGATGAAACTACAAAGCTGGCATGGAGGTATATAATTACAAAATAAAGTCATTATGATTGTTATTGTTGTTAATATTATTTTAGGTAATGTGAGGTAAAAGGAGTTTTATCAGTACGCGTGACGAAGCCTTTACTGCGACAGCTCCAACTCTCCGACGCACAGTGTAAACGTCAGCGTCAGAATTCACTCACTTCATTTCGTTCGCTCCTTGCAGATATAGTGCACTCAAATGCCATACACTATATAGGGATTAGTGAATGAGTGAACGAGTGAGCGGTTTCAGACACAGCTTTGCTGCCGTCTGCTAGATGAGTGCATTCTGTTGGGTGAATTTGTCTCTTACTTGAGAGTGGCGACCCCATCAGGTGTGGTGGGCTCATTGAATTTCCGCATATACTCGTGCATCTCAGGAAAACTCTTTTTCATGTAATCCTCTGCACTGCTTTCCCGAACAGTGCCAAATCGGAATCCCTGAGATGGGTGATGAAGCTGAAAAACAAGTCTTAGATTATAGTGCACTGTTTTAGCTTGCTCTACATGGTGATATCATGATAAATGCAATTTTACTTTATTTACATTAAATCAATTAATTTGTCAGACAGTGATTTAAATTGCATTCAAAGTATCCATTTTATCAGTTCATGCATTCCCAAGGAATAGCATAGCACCCATGACATTAGCATTGTCAGCGCCATGCTCGACTGATTTTAAAACTGAGACCACCCGTAAATGTCAACACTCGTTAGTTTTTCATCAACTTGACATGCCAGGCACTGTAACAGAAGCACGTAGGACTAAACTTCAGGATACATGTTATGTTTACACTAAAGTCTTTAAAGGTGCTGTATGTAATTTTTTTCACTGTTCTAAAGCGTAAAAAATACCATAATATGCTTGCAGATATTTAGGAAACACGCTAAGTTCACATGGATTTTCTGAAAAACAGCGCAACAGCCAGTTATTCTACTTTGTTATGTGCATTCCTTGTCGGAATGTGTGTTTTTGTTTTGTTCTGTGCGATACGGCACATTGCCAATTACCCAATAGTATTTTGTAGGGCTGGGCAAAAAAATCGATTTTTCGATTAATCGTTTTTTAAAATGTGGTCGATTCAAAATCGATTCACAACGGCCACGAATCGATTTTTTTCCATATAAAGGGCTCGCGGACGCGGTGCTGCATCTTCTCGTCTCTCTGCACTAGGCAAGCGCTGCAGCTGTCGATACACACACGCGTTCAGGAGTCGGGACATGACGGAATATTCACTTGCACAATCGGGCCAGCATTGCATCGTGACCTATGATCGTAACTAACATTTATCATTTATTTGCTCAAGCAATGTTAAACCATCCCGATCCGTGCTCGCGCACTCTCAGAGATTTCTTTCACTGCGTGCACAGCCTAAATCCGCCTCACAAACAGCTCGCCAGAAACAAAAGTTTTATCCCTGGATTACATCGCTTTAACACGCAACATTATGTCAAAACTCTGGTCTTGGTGAGTAACCTCGTAAAGACAGTCGGTAATGTCTTAAATTAGCATTAAACGCGTGTAACAGAAAGTTAATGAAACAGTAATGGATTCGCACACTAGTTCTTAAAGTGAACGCAGCCATTTGTGTCAGTCATTAATTCTGTTGTCATAACAACAGAATATAGTATTAATTGTAAGCAATCAGAATTAATAGCCTTTGTATTTTATTCAGTCTGGACTAAAAAGACTATCCAGTGTTATTTTACATTGGATTACTTTAGTCAGTTTCTGTAGTATTTCTGACATACCCAAAAAACTACCCCAAAATGTCTCTTAATTTTTGTCTTTATTCTATTGTATTTATTTGTGCTACTTTTTTCAATTTAATTCAAAGATTGAAATCAAGCTTCTATACATAAACTCTTAACGAAAAAAAAATACATTAACATTTAGGTAAGATCAATGTAAAAAATGTCTAAATATTTATATATTTATCTATCTTAAACATAAAATAACATGATACTGTTTGATCAAGCTGTGCGACTGTTCTGTGCGACTGTGCGACTCTTTTTTTGCATATTGCATCAAAATCCTGTCTAGTCTTTGTATGCATTTAGTGTACCTAAAATAAAAAGTGTTTTATATATAGGTTTATGGCTCTTAATTTTCTTGTATTAATTAACCACTAGTAAACGTATGCCCACTGTTCTTTTTTATAAATTATAAATATAGTATTTTTATTACATCTTCATTATAGTTGAATCGAGAATCAAATCAGGAATCGAGAATCGAAAATCGAATCGAGAATCGAATCGAACTGAGAGCTTGCGAATCGAAATCGAATCGAAATTGAAATGTGAATCGATACCCAGCCCTAGTATTTTGGGGTTGCCAGTTGGCAAAAATACAGCATATTGCAGCCATGGAGACCAATCAAACTGGGTCAGAGATCCAAGGGTCAAATATATTCATGGAGATCTAAAAATATTAAAAACGAGAATAAATCAACTCATAAACTTACAAGTCTGCTCGCCTCTATTGTCAATTGCGCTTGATCCTTTTGCTTTTCCTCAAACTGGCAACCAGCATGACCATTGATTCTGGTGGGGGAAACAACTCTTTCCAATATTTAGAATTTGGACTGCAGTACTCATTTCGCCAACTAGCTGTCAATATTACATACTGCACCTTTAAGGTAGATGACCTTGTTGTTAAAAAAAACAAAACAATAACATTACCTCTTCAAATATAGACTAAATTATAGCAACTTTGTTCTATGGAGGTTATAAATACAGTATGCACTAGAGCTGCACGATTAATTGTTAAAAGTTTGTGATCCAGATTCAAACATCCACACAATCTTATTTCTAAATGACAACGATTAGGTTGTGTCTAAGTACGCTCGTATCTGCTTTGGCCCTGCCGCTGACCCAGAGAGAGCAGTTATCATTTGTAGGTATGAAATAGCTTCACAAAAAGTTTCAACCACACAGTATCAAAATGTATATGCTATAATTCATATTATCATTGAAGTACTGGGATACAAGTTTATAGTTTGGATATAAACACTGACGTCTACGGTAGCAAACTTGAATCTTCAAATAAAGATTGTATTGATTACATCATTACACCAGAAGGTGGCGACAAATGACTGTTAAAAAATAGATTTTTTTTCATTGAATCATTCATTCATGAGATTTGTTTAAATTTCCTGATTCATCCAGCACTTAAACAAGTAACTCTTTATCTGCATATTAGTGAATCATTCGGTCAAACCACTAAAACAATTATATTATCTAAATATACTGTAGCAATTAACATTTTGTCTCTGCTAAATTACATCTGTTTAAACTAATAAAGCAAGAATCTCAAAAAAATCCAGAATCGTGCATCTCTACTATATGCCAAAGTGTCTCAAAAGATCTTACCTTGGCATCATGTACTCCAGAGAGCTCTTCAAAGGTCTTTTCCCCAACCATGACTGCAGCCAGATTTGCTGTGTAACTGGACAAAACCAGCAAGCAAAATATGGCCCACAGGTTCATCAGAAAACGTCCAGTCCAACACTTGGGCGTCTTACTAGAGACTGTTCGGCCAAAGAGGATGGCGTAGCAGAGGTTGAGGGCTGAGGAATAGGAGAAGACCTTCACACGGTTACGTCCATGAGGCGTCATGCCGAAGGGACTCTTCCATTCGTAGAGGGTGAGGAAGAGCGCTGTAATATGCAGTGCTACAAAGATGCCCATCCACATAGACCAGTGCAATGGCCACATGAATGCTCCAATAGGTGCAGCTGTGTCTTTACTGCGCACCAGTATTCCCAAACTTGTTGAAAAAAATGGACTGGTAAAGTCAATCACTTTACTGCGAGCCGAGTTGATGCTGAAGCTGGTGACAGCCATATCGGCAACCCCGCTCAGCAGGTCGCCCACCAGCCCCGTCCACTGCCCACCCTTGAGTGCACCATATTTTCCGTCGCCAACTATGTACAGGTCAAACTTGAAGTTCATGTCTTCTGCCAGCTTCTCCAGTAGATCAATGCAGTATCCATAGCAACACTTGCTGTAATCCGGTGGCAAGAAGCTGCTGTTGCCTTGAGCCCGCTCGGAATACAAGTGGTCCAGGGTTACCGAGCTGTTTGTCCCTGCATCCAGACAGTATTGCCCAGCGGGACAGTTCCCATCCTCATCTACCTCTCGAGTGAACACGAACGGGTGCTCCACCAGAGTGACCACACGCACGCGACTCCCCAACACAGGAAAGCCAGCCCGCCATCTACGACCTTCCCTGCCCAACTGGCCCTCTGTGCGCTGCCGAGGGGATGACCCTTGCCACAATCCCTGCTCCTCTACATCCAACCTACCGCCTTCCCAGCTGCCAACAGTCACCCAAGTGGGCTGACCGATGGCATCCCGCCGCAGACTCCAAATGTGGACCCTCTGAGAGGTGTGTACACGAGAAAGGTTGCGTTGAACGCTGACAGGGCCAGTCAACCCTACAAAGGACGTATTAGAGAGGAACCTGAGGGGAAAAGAATACAAGTGTCAAATTATGAGAACACTAACTATTTGTTAGCATTCCTATTTATGCCGAGTTGCTTGGCTCTGGAATTATGTAACCTGAAAGCTACCATCTTTGCTCATGGGAATCTTTCGAGTCTGAATTGTAAGTTCGAATGACCATCAATAAACAAAAATGCTTATGATCAGCACAAGCTAATGGGCCCAAGCTAATCGGGCCTGAAAAAATTACTCAGGGGGATCCCAGACAAAGACTCTGGTTCACAACTAGAGATGTGGTAACAGGATCAAACACAGGTTAAGCTTGCTTTATCCTCTCCAACAACAAAGCAGACAGTAAATATCTGCGGCAGAGCGGGAAGACCTGGGAGAGGGATTGGCTAGCTGGATGACTGACACGGTCTGGCATCTGTCACACCATAAACTACAGATGTTGCTTTCAAAGAGCAATATATTTAATTGTGAAACCCCCTTCCACTCTTCAGAATTACAGCCGCTCAGTCGGCAGCTGCTGCTCTGGTGCACAAGTCGGGTCACTTAAGGAAATGTCTTGACATTGAGCTTGTAGATTAATGTCTGGAGTCATAAATAATAGATATGACATTTGACAAATGCTGTGCTGGTTAATGAAAAACTGAGGAGAAAAGCTTAAAATATAATTTGGCTCACAACATTTATCCATAGTTCTACCTGCCACAGAAAGCAAATGGCCCATCTTAGCCCGCCAATGACTGACAGTGTGTATCTAAAGGACATCTAATTTACAGCATGTGTCTTTCAGCTCAATTAAGAGAACATGTTGTTATATACTTGAAAGCTGTCTTTGTCTCTGCTCTTACTTTTCTGATCTTTTATATATTGAGAAGAGAGGGGCTATTGTGAGGTAAGATGGGAAAAGATATTGGAACTGATAGAGAAATATTACTTCTATTAATCCAAGCGTTCATTGTAGGTGAAGCTACTTAGAAAATGCTGCAAAATTATGTTTTATTAACAAAGTTCAGTAGGAACATGTTAAAATGATCTATCCATTCAGAACAAGAGGAGGCCCATATACGTAGCTGACTCACCTATGTTCCTCGACAATTTTCTGCATCCCTCCGCCACCCCGACTCGTAACTCTCCACTGCTTCCTATCCCTCTGGATTTGAGACAAATTCTGAGCTCAGAGCCCTCCCCTCGGACAACACACTAAATAAGCCTACTCTGTTACTCTATCTGTTTATTTGTGCGTGTGAACTTGTGAATCAATTTAAAGTAGTTAATCTAAAATCAAGCTACTTTTTTGGGAAAAAATATCTACACTATAAGCTACTAACAAAAGGTTGCTCACTACAAGTAACCTGCCTTTATTATATATATATATATATATATATATATATATATATATATATATATATATATATATATATATTTGATCATATTAATAAACAGCACCATTTAAATAAATATTTGACTATAAAAAGAAGTCCTAAAATGCAGCACAGAACTTATGTGAAGCAAAGCCTGTGACATATTTCAATTGGTTAATTTACATGAACAATCTGAACTGATTCACTAGAATTAATAAGAGATTTCAACAATACACATGAATATTAGTTTTAATCCAACCAAAGCACTACCCAATGCTTTGTATATAATAGGTATTGAACAATATGGCAATTAGCAAAATATAGGATGATAACAGTCATTGAATCTAATTGTTATTTCACAGTAAAGTCATCCACAGGACTTGGGTACTGTCATAGGCAGGATAATGCCACACTTTGACTAATAACTATCTTCTCACTCACTAAACTCGTCAATGTAAGAAAAATGCATGCAAATGCAAAATATTGATAAAAAAAATGAAAGTTATTTACTTTTATTGTATTACAATGTGGCCAAAATCTTGCACAAGCTGCTGAGCTATGTATCACACTCCTGCAGCTATGCCCTCGCAATTGTCCGGTATTATGCAGCATGTTTGGGTCTGGTTGGCAGATTTTCAGCCTTATCCTGTTGTGATGAGAGACCCAGGCTTCCTACACAGCCACATTTGACTTCTGTTTGTTGTGAGAGATATAGTGGTGTGTGGCAGAGTGCTGGCATGATCCACACAAAATGACGGGCCTGCATGGTAGGCGTGTGCCAGAGCTTTTGATAAGAGTGATCCCTCCTCAGGGAAAGGCAACTGAGGGGAAGTCATAAATAAAGCTTAAAGCTCTAAAGCATGTCTGCATTCCAGCTGAGTGTCTGGGCAAACACCAGTAATTTGCCGCAGCAAGTGAAAATGGCCGTGCGCCTGTCCTTAAGCATGACACTAGCTGTTTGGAACATCTTTGCAACCATCTCATCCAGATGGTAGGATGTTCTACTGATGAGTGTTCAGACTCAAAACATAAAAGCCATTTATTCTCTAAAAATATGTTACATGTTTTTAATATTTAAATATTTAGCTGATGCTTTTATCCAAAGCGACTTGCAATTGCTATGTATGTCATAGGTCTCACGCCTCTGGAACAACTAGGGGTTAAGTGTCTTGCTCAGGGACACATTGGTGTCTCACAGTTTATTCGAACCCGGGTCTCTCACACCAAAGGTCTTATCCACTGCGTCATCACCACCACTAATTAAGAGTCAAATGCGGCAGTTTTAATTATTCCTGAGATTCATTCCTAAATTTCTCAATTCAATTATTTATGTATGAAATACCAATCTATTTTTCTAAGAGCCGTTAATTTAGCGCGTGTCTGTAGTGGTGGGTGGGGCACAAACGTTTCCACACATGCCAGCATGACAAAACCTCTCGGTTACGTATGTAACCCTTATTCCCTGAGTAGGGAACGGAAACGTTCCGTCGGATGATAACAAATGGGGTTTCGCTTAGAAAGCCTATCGACTTCGAGTATTACAAAACGAGCCAATGGCAAAGAAATGCCATGGGTCTGCAGATTTTGCATAGCGTATCTCCGCCTTACCTCGTGGGTATAAAAAGGCAGCCCGTTCTCATCCTTTAGCGTCACATAGAACGCTATATGACAAAACGGCGCTATACTACGCACATGGCACCCTTTATCGTTAATATTCACGCGAACCCAAGGCGTCATAAATCCTTTAGCGTAATATGAGACTACCCTACCCTACCCCACACCTAAACCTAACCATCACAGCGCGTGTTATATTAACGATAACGGATGCCATGTGCGTAGTATAGCGCCGTTTTGTCATATAGCGTTGTATATGACGCTAAAGGATGAGAATGCGTTGAAAAAGGAGGATGCCGCAACATGCAGGTATGTTTCAGGGAACGAGGGTTACATTCGTAACCGAGACGTTCCCTTTCGTTGTCACTCCAAGTTCCGTCGGATGACGACGAATGGGGTTAGCAGTCTGATCACGCCACCTTCACAGCTGTCTTCCAGTGCCCTGCGTAAATCTGAGATTCCTGTCGTGAGACTGGCACGGACAAAGGACTCCTATTTAGCACAGGAATACCAAGGTACACCAGGGAGCATATCGCATAGTTTAGAGGAAATATGCAATTACCCAGACAGCAAACTGACATTGAATCAACGTGGAAACGACGTCTCTCATGACATTGAAACAACGTTGATTTTGCTCATCGAATTAACGTTGAACCAACGTCAGACGCGGCATTCTTCATAGCTAAATGAAAATCGAAAATTGGTTTGCTTTCATAACGTTGAAACAACGCGTTGATTTCAAGTTGATTTTCCGTTAGTTTTGAAAGAATGACGCGTCTGACGTTGGTTCAACGTTAATTCGATGAGCAAAACAATGTCAGATCAACGTTGTTTCGATGTCATATTTCCACGTTGATTCAATGTCAGTTTGGGTACTGCTAACCCGAGACTTAAAGGGTACCTATTATGGCATTTAAAATGTTCCTAATATTGTTCTGGGAGTCCCCAACAACAGTTTTACAAGCATGCAATGACAAAAAACACTTTTGTTGTCTTATAATATGCATTTATTTTTACCTGATTTGCTCACCGACTCCCATATGAATCGTTTAGCGAGTCCTTTTTCCAAAACCCGCCTTTGCGTGACGCTAATCTGCGGTGATTGGTCAGATCACCTAGTCAGTTGTGATTGGTATTCTCTGTGCAGAGATTGTCGAAAACGGAACGCCAATCACCTTAAATGGGTTCTCAACTCCAGTCCTCGCGACCCACTGCTCTGCATATTGTGTATGTCTCCCTTATTTAACACACCTGATTCAGATCCTCAGCTCGTTAGAGCCAGCTCGCAAATCCATACTTTATAGCGTTTAGGTTTGTGAAGCAATCATCTTCAAAATGACGCGAACACAGAACAAGGTTTGGGCTACTTGTGTGGTATACTTGTATATATGAACTGCAGGCAGCCACTTAGTCTTCAAATGCTCCTCACTTGGCAGGTGAAAAAAGTTCGCTTTTGCGTCGGACTTCAAAACACAGCGTCTCGTCGACATGATTGTTTTCCGGTTTTCCCTGGCGTCTCCGAGCGCAATAAGTGGGCGGTTCTTATTCAAATAACTTGTCAAGTTGACGTCAACTAGACAAAGGAAAAAGCATCGTTCTTCGAACGATTCATATCAGCGACTCAGAGTCGACTCTTACTTTTGAGAGACAATAACTTTGTATACGATGAACTTTCATGTTTAAAACTTTGCATGGATGTTTTCGTTCACTTAGATCTATGTTAAACACTACATGAAAGGAAATTTTCAAAAATCCATAATAGGTACCCTTTAAGAATACACATATGACCCGAAGAAAGCATATGGAGAAACACTGGGGTGTCCAGCCACAGGTGGAATATTTCAACCTCAGGGGTGGCAAGAAGGCTTTCCAAGGGAAAGACACCTGCTCGGAGAGACTTACAGTGGAAATACACATGTGGGGGTCGCTCAGGGGAGGGACCATGCACATGGGAGGCACCTAGCCAACACGCAGGCATTAGACACTGGCATCGGTGTCACCAGTGCTGGAGGAACTCAGGGCTTATATGGCTCATCTGAGGAAAATAATCGCACGTATCCAGTCCAAGCGAAGACACCTGAATGGGTCCTATAGTACCAGCTGGTTGAAGCGAGTACATGGGCGGACACAGGCTCCACTTGGAGATTGTAGAATCTGGCGAATGTGTAGGGTGTCACCCAGCCTGCAGCTCTGTAGATGTCTGTTAGCAAGGTGCCATGCGCTAGAGCCCAAGAGGATGCCACACTCCAGTGTTGTTCAGTTCAACAGGCAAGAATATGAAACTCGCTGGAACTCGCCATCACACCAACACTGACTGGAAGCTGCTCGTCTAGAAGATTCTCGAAGATAGTCAGAGAATAGGCTGCAGGAGTGAAGAAAACTTGGCTTCGAAGCGAAATCATACCTGCATGTTGCAGCGTCCTCCTCTTTATACCCACGAGGTAAGGCGGGGATACGCTATGCAAACTCTGCAGACCCATGGCATTTCTTTGCCATTGGATCGTTTTGTAATACTCGAAGTCGATAGACTTTTTAAGCGAAATCCCATTCGTCGTCATCTGACAGAACTCGGAGTGACAACGAAAGGGAACTTAGTATATTTAACTAGTTGCCATTTCAAAAATATATAGAGAAAAAATTGCACCAAAATTCAAAGATCTTTGGAAGATATCACTGAATATGTATTTAACCATAGCAAAAGTACATTTCCTCCTGATGTTATTTTTTTTATCTCAGTTTTTTAATGTTTATATAAAATGAGTTGGGGTGTAACGATACCCTCATGTCACGATTCGATACTTATCATGATACTGAACTCACGATACGATATTATTGCGATACTCCAAGACATATGGTAAAAGGTTTACAAAAAATGTACTGTTGATTAAAATGCTGAAGTTGATATTACATTGTGGGTTTAAATGAATACACTTGGACTTGGTGACACCATGATAAAAATATTCATGATTCTGAAGCTAAAAATACAGAATTATTTTAGATGAATATGCTTGCACTCTTTCACTGACTAGATATATTTCAAATAATGTTGGACACTTTTTACTGGTAACCATCAGACATTTGGCATTATCAGGACCCATGAATATTCCCACATTGCATTATTATACATTATAATCAACATTATATATAGTAGTTTAATGTAGTACACTAAAACTCACATATCCATGATACGCATTGTTGCATTTTTGTATTGCAATATATTGTGGCACAGTATATTGTTGCACCCCTAAAAATGAGACAAATCTGCTATTATTTTAATCTCCAATCTGTTATTTAACAAAATAACACTTTAACACATTGTTTCGGCCCAGCTGTGTTCGAAATAATGCCACACAGTTCATTCTTCGATTTAGCTTAAAGTATATCAGGGTCTTAATTATTTCTGTAATTATTTAGTTTCAGCTCCGTGCTACATTAAAAACTGTTTTTTATATTTGCCACTTTTATGTTGCTTATTTAATTGTAAAAAAAAAAAAAAAGAAGAAGAAGGCCCCCTGCAATACTGCTGTGTTGTACACTGATACATACACCCGGTTCTAAATCAATACAAAAGCTAAACAGACTTTATTGGAACATACCATTTCACAAAATATAATTCTTTTTTTATCTTGGGGGTTCAGGGTGCTCTGTTGGAAGAAACTGAAAAGCTTGCGGTCCTTTCTGCCAGGGTACATTTGCTATGGCAGTTAAAATGTACATTTTTACAAGCATGTTTCAAAAAACATTCTGTAATGTTTGCATAAAGCATGTAACATTATACTTACAAGATGTATGACAACTTTTCTCAAGAATTAATAATAAATATATTAATTTATATTGTGGTCTCATATGGTACTACTTTGGTGCTTGTCTACAGTAGACTAGAAAAAGTTAGAAAAGGTAGAAAAGGTTCCATATAGAACCTTAAAAGGCTATGTATTTGGAACCCCTAACCCCTCAGCGCTACGTATTTGGAACCCCTAAAATGTTCTATACAAAACCCTTTTTAAGAATAATAAGAACCATTTAGCGTTCTTTGTAACCAGGAAAAAGGTTCTATATGGAACCTTTTGGGTTCATTCATTATCATTTGTTTTGTTCTTTCCGGATTATATTATTGACAAACATCAAGACCCTAAAATCTATTTATGAATGCATGTGAATGATCACAAAATTCAAGATATGGGGGTTATAAAATGTGTATATATATATCATTTTATGTAGTTAATCAATATTGTCACAGTCCGTCGTCTGCACCAGTCTGTCTTGTCATCAGCACTACACTCCCCAGGATCCTCTTGTCTCCTCTCCTGAACTCACTCCCTCATTAGCCACCTGTTCCTCGTTTTGTTCATCTGTTTCACCTGTTTTCAACCATTTAGCTTAATTCCTCTGTGTATTTAGTTCAGTTCAGTTCCATTCAGTCTTTGTCGGTCGATGTTAATGTTACCCTTCCGTGTTGTGAGTGTGTTCCTGCCTGTACCTGTTTGCTATTTTGAGTTTAAGTAAAGTGTTTGAATTGGAGCGTTTGCCTCTTCGGTCTCCTTCTTCTGCCAACACTCCACCAGCACCGTGACAAATATCACACGAAGAGTGCCATTTCAGTTTTTCTCCTCCAAAAATCCGCATGATTAAAATGTGATATTAAGTTACAACAACACCTTTGTGCCACAACATTATTTTGTGGTCTAGCAACTCTCCATAGACATTTAGCTGGAAAAACTAAACTGGTCAGGCTTTGACCCCTACTCTGGATGATTTGAACTTAAGATTTTCTTTGAAGACAGAACAAAGATGTTTTGCCGACTGGATACGGTAAAAGTTATAATATCAACTTGCTCCACTGGTGGTGGTGGTCGTATCCTTCTTTGTTGCTCTGATTGGTTGTAGCGCTATCCAATTGCGTGCAGAGAGAATTTGAAAGACAACCGTTCATCCCGCCCCTCGATTTGAGCCCTGTCAATGATGAGTTCCCAGACATCTTGATGTAGGTCTGGCATGCCAGGCTAATAGAACCCCTTTAGCCTTGCCATGCTGTTCACAAGGTGCATCCCATTTCACACACTATTCTACACCAGGTCTTCAACTGAAACTACAAAATTGGATACTTTATGGATACTTTGGAGTAAAATACATACAGTTTATGAATTCAATAGTCACATCTTTGTCTAATGGAAGGGGCTAAACAGTGACACTAATAAAAGCATTTCAGGTGCATCACCTTCAAATGGAAAATGACAAATTCATCAAATGTTAAGTGTATCATACACTTTATGGCATGACAGTTTACTTTATGGGATATTTCTGTAACATTTTTGGAACATTTGGAACTCAACTGTGATGAAACTGGTTAGCTGCTAGCTATATACAAACTACTAGAAGTCTGTTGGGGACCTGCACACAAAACACAAAACACCTTTTTAACAGGTTACATACTAAACAGACTGAACTGAGAGAATATGGATTTACCTGGCAATGTACTGTCCTGATGAGGGCAGCTCGTGTTTGTTGGGTTTGTCAAAACAGTTTACCATATTTTGGATGAGGGCTAGATCAGGCCGTACGACCGTTGCTGCGCTAACAGCTCGGTTGACCAACTGCAGGGCATCATGAATGTAGAGGTCTAGTGGTTTGCGGTCGACCTCTCCATAAGCCAGCAGTCCTAAAGGCAGGCCAATAGAATGAAGGGTGTCTGGGCTTAAAGGATGTCCCATAATCCAATGTACAGTGGGTAATGTCAACCCCAGGTCATGCGCACTGCGCAGAACAGAAGAGGCACACTCCGGGTCGGCCCCAAAAAGTAGGACCGAGGCAGGAGGAGGATGGTCCTGATTAAAGTGCTCAGAGAGGAAGTCAGAAATGTTGGCAATGTGAGGTATGCTGTGGGAGAGGTTCAGGGCGGATCGAAGTTGCCAGTGTGAGGGTCCCCAGCCAGAGCGGCTTTGAAGTTCCAGGAGATCCAGAAGACCAGCGTCCTCCCAGCCTTGGCAAAGCACTGCCATACTCTCTTCCCAGCCACTGCGCTGCAGAACATCTAGAAGCAGCTCCACCAGCACGGAAGGGGGCATACGTGTTGTCATCTGCAAGTGGAAACGATTCTGAAAACAGAACAAGCACAGAAAGACAATGTGGTCATCAAATTATTAGTTCCTTATGTGCCTTAATTGCAACTTAATTTCTCATAATTGTGACTTTAGATCTCCAAATAATTTTTTATTATTTTTATTTCTCATAGTTGTGAATTTAGGTCTCCCAGTTGTGACTTTTTGTCTTTATTTCATGCAATTGCAACTTTAGGTCACACATTTGTGAATGTTTGTCTTTATTATTTGCAATTACGACTTTGAATATCGCAGTTGTGACTTTTTATCTTTATTTCCAATAATTGCCAGTCTATCTCTCATAATTTCAACTTGAGATCTCGCAGTTGAGACTCTCTTTATTTCTCATAATTGTAACTTTATTTCACATAAATTGTCATGTTATGTCTTTAAATTGCAACTTTTAAGTATAATTATTTATAATTTGTTACATTTCTATAATTTTTTTCTCTGCACTCAAACCCCTGGTTTCACATACGAGGCTTAAGCAGACTATCTTAAGATACTCCTAGACTAAATTGCATGTTTGAGCTGCTTTAACTGAAAGCCACTTGCACTGAAATATCTTAAAATATGTCAGTGCTATTGTTTTGTCTCAAGATGCACACCAGTCATGATTTTCTCTATTAAAACGTTGTGCAACAAAACAATGTCTACACTAAACAGCTTCAAATATGAAAATGCATGTAATGTGTTTGACTGAAAAGGTGTGGATGAATAAGATTGAAGCTACACAGCGTGAAGAAAATAAAACAAAAGTCATCTCTTTCACATCTCAGATGTTTCTGCTAGATATAAATAAGGTTACATCAACACCAAATGGAGACTTACATTTGAGTCGCTTCTCACACTTTTCTTCTGAGACAAAAACCATTCTAAACTGTCTAAAAGCTGAATTCGATAGCATCATAAACCAAAAAACACAGTTTATTATCCAACAACTCAAACGCAAAGAATACCAACATTGTAACAAAATGGGCAAATATTTAGCAAATAAACTAAAGCATAAACAAGAAAATGCAATTATCCCACCATATTCAATAAATCAGAATAACCCAGAACCCACAATAAATAATTTGTATTTCAAACTTTTTTTTTTACCAAAAATTACATTAATCGAATCGCAATTAAGATGAAACAGAAATAAACTAAATTCTAAAAGAGTTAAAGCTACTATCAATGTCAAAAGAACAGGCAAATGCATTGGATACACACCCCTCACTGATGCTGAACTCACCTGGACCTGATGGACTACCAGCTGAATGGACACTTCTGGCCAATTCTATCTCCTTTATTACTCAAAGTTGTTAAAGAAATTAAAACTACTTCAACAATACCAACACATGAATACGGCGGTTATGACACTCTGCTAAAACCAAACAAAAACCCAATGCACCCTTCTAGATTTAAAAATCATTACCAAAGCATTAGCTAGAATAGAAAAAGTTATCACGATATTAATTAATCATGATCAAACAGGTTTTATTAAACACAGGAATGCTTCAGATAATATGTGCAGATTATTTAACCTAATTAGCCTTGCTCAACAAAAACATACCAAAACTATTGTATAACTTGACGCAGAAAAAGCATTTGACAAAGTTAACTGGACATTTCTTTTTAACATAGATTTGCCTTTGGAGAGTCACTCATGCACTGGATTAAAATATTATATACTTCACCTAGGGCCACAATAACAACAAATGTGATCACATCACGAAATTTCACACAGGAACAAGATAAGGATGCCCACTTTCTCCTTCTTTATTTGCCATATTTAGGCCTATAGAACTACTTGCAGCAGCAATACAACAAAATTATGATAATAATGATAATCCATTACATTTATATAGCTCTTTTCTCTGCACTCTACAGCGCTTTACATGAAATCTCCTCAACCACCACCAATGTGCAGCATCCACCTGGATGATGCAACGGCAGCCATATTGCGCCAGAACGCCTACCACACACCAGCTTACCGGTGGAGAGGAGACATAGTGATGAAGCCAATTGGCATGATTAGGATTAGGATGATTAGGAGACCATGATGGACAGAGGCCACTGGGAAAATTTGGCCTGGATGTACTTGGCCAGGATAATATCAAAGGAATACAAAACGTAAATACTCAACATGAGATCTGTGTTTCTGCACATGATTTATTGTTATGTTTACAAAACCCTTGTAAGTCATTGAAAGAAACCTTTAAAATAATTAATTTTTAATTTTAATTTTTCAAAACTTTCTGATTATACAATAAACTGGAATAAACCAACAATATCACCACTTTGTGAGGGGGTCTGGGATTCCACAGCTCATGATTCTTCTCTTCCACTCCACACTGGCAACATTACATACTTGGGTATCAACATTTCCTCCAGACTGTCAGAGTTGATTAATCTTAACTAGGGTATACTCCACTTTAAAAAAAATAAAATAAATTGGAGATGATTTAAAACACTGGACTAACCTACCACTATCACTTGTCGGTAGCATTGCTACAGTTAAAATGAAAACTTCTCAACACTTCCAACAACACCCACCGATAAATGGTTTAAATCACTTGATTCATTGACTCATGACTCTCACTTCTATTGGAAAAAATAAAACACCTAAAATATCACTGGAAAAATTACAAAAGACAAAATCACAATGCGACCTAGAAGCTCCAAATTTTCGATGGTACTTTTTGGCAAACCAGCTACAATATTTATAGAAATGGATTCATAAAACTAATCAAAATAATTCATGGATGGAATTAGAACAAACCCATTGCAAAGATACTTCAGTTTCAGACCTTGCCTTTCAACCAAAATCAATTCAGAAAATACAATTGCATCAACTCTGACAGCCTGCTGGAAAGTAAACAACATTAAAGAGCCCCTATCATGGATTTTTGAAAATGACTGTTCATATGGTGTGGAATATAGCTCTAAGGGAATGAAAACATCCTGTAAAGATTTATATCTGAAAGTGCACCGTATATAAAGTTATTGTCTTTCAAAAGTGAGAGTCGACTCTGAGTCTATGAAATGAATTGTTTTTCAAACGAGTCATTAGCTGTTTCGTAGTGATGTAGATACGAAACATGAGCATATTGGCCGCTCCCAGTTACTGCGCGCGCAGACGGAAGTGTAAACTTGAAGTCTAGAACACATTCAAATACTTCAGCTGAATAGCATCATGTTGAGAAGACGCTGTGTTCTACAATGCAAAGACAGTTCAGCCACTTGAGCATGTGAAGAATCGGTGGTTAGAGTTCATATTTGCAACGATACCACAACAGTATAGCCCGATTGTGTTCTCATCATTTTAATGACGAATCATTCAAAAACATAAATTAATTCAATTGTGGATTCGCAAGCCGGTTGTTCCTGAAGGAGGGCTCAGTATACCCCCACATTGTATATGGATCAGCTTCCTCCTCCGAATCACAACCTGTAAGTATTATTAATAATTGTTGCTTTTATGGGTTTTGTAGCGTCGGGGTGCGAGGAGGGAAGGCGCAATAAGTATGTGTGTGTGTGTGTGTAAGTTACGCTCAGCGCAGCTTCTAGGTCTCCAATGTCATTTTTTTTAAATATGTAAAATGTTTGTCGCTGTCAGTCATAAAGAATAGAGTGTCTTTTTGTACTGCAGTGCTTTATCAATATGTTTATGTGTTATGCTAACAAACAATAACTGACTGGGTCTGTCATCTGATCACCGCACGATTAGCGTCACGCAAAGGAGTGGTTTGGAAAAATGAGTCGTTGTACGAATCATTTGGGAGTCGGTGAGCAAATCAGATAAAAATAAATGCATATTATAAGACAACAAAGGTGTTTTTTGTCGTTGTATTCATGTAAAACTGTTGTTGGGGACTCCCAGAACAATATTATGAACATTTTAAATGCCATAATAGGTGCTCTTTAACAATTCACCACTAAGATCATGTAGACACACCCTCATCTTCAATCCTGATTTTCAATTATGCAATAAACCGATACATTTTCCATCTTGGCAACAAAAGGGAATCACTCATCTCCATCACTTTTTTGAAAACAACCAATTTGTATCATTTAAAATATTAGTCCACAGGTATGGTCTTAGGGGGAACAGTTTTTACAATATCAACAAATTAAATCTATAGTTAAATCCAAGATCAACATAATTAATAACCCACTTCATCCCTCTCAATCAATGGAAGATATAATGAAAATCACTAACAACAGCAAACTAATATCAAAACTACATAAACTTATATTAAATAATGATACAACAATTCTCCCCCAACACCGACCTCTGGAAGGAAATCTGTAACAAAACATTTGCAATGACTAATAATACCAACCTCCAGCTCATACAGTTCAAGATTATTCACAGGATAATGGGCAGGATAATTTATAACAGGATAATTTAATTTAACATGATAACAGGATCATTTATAATGGGCTTGAGGGACACAAACATTTGTTCACAATTCAGACTGGAGAGCACTGATTTTCATGCCCTATGGACCGGTCAACCAGTTCACACCACAAAACTGTCCGTTATCATGGGTCATGCAATCCCTCCATCTCCATCACTCTGTTTACTTAATAACTGTATGGAAGTTGATAATCTCCCAAACAAATAAAAAAAACCCACTCCTAATTTCCCTAACTATCGCCAAGAAAGTAACTTTGCAAAACTGGAAGTCCAAAAACTGTACACATATCAATCACTGGACTAACAGAATACATCATTAGAAAAAATAACATACACTAACAAGAATATTATATCTATATTTCTTGATATCTGGAAACCATTCCTTACTCATCTTCATATAAATCAGTAACCTGGAACCCAACCAATGCACTCTCCCAACCACATGTTTACAAACTAATGAATAATCTGAGTATTACTGTATGTATACATATACGTGTATGTGCATGTATAGGTATATATAGACTGCACCCACCCCTCAAACCCAGGACCACCTTGAGGAGCATACCAGAGACCAGACAGACAAGTGGAA